TTACAAGGAAATTTCGTATACTAATTGACGTCGTTAATAAATTCAAGTTTTTTGAAAAACGAAAGCATATTTAGAGAAAAAAAAAACTTCGCAGTCTGAAGAATTCTCTACAAAATGCACTATTTAATTTTCGAAAATTTTTATTATCATTTACAGTATTAGATAATAATTTTTCTCATACAAACAAACAACAAAAAAAAAGAAAATCATTAGTATAAAATTTCCAATTCAATAAATAAATCTATTTAAGGAAATAACATCAAAATGGAATGAAGTTCAAACACTTGTACCACAACGTGATCAAGATTTACAAAGTGAATATGCTAAACAACAACAAAATGAACGTTTTCGTATACAATTTGCACAAAAAGCAAATGTTGTTGGTCCATGGATAGAACGACAACATGAACAACTTCAACAATTAACATTTCAAGTTGTTGGAACATTAGAACAACATCAAAAAAAACTTGAAACAATGGAATTAAATGTAACACAATATCGTCCACATATAGATGAACTTGAAAAATATAATCAACAAATTCAAGAATGTATGATTTTTGAAAATCGTCATACACCATATACAATGGAAGTTGTACGTGTTGCATGGGAACAGTTACATACACAATTAACAAGACAAATAGCTGAAATTAAAAATCAAATATATACATTAGAAAAGAAAGGAATTAGTGAAGAACAAATGAATGAATTTCGAGCTGCTTTTGCACATTTTGATAAGAGTCGAAGTCGTATGTATTTTGTTGTGTTTTTTTTTTTCGTCTATGATTTTATATATTATTTAATATAGGTCGACTTGATCCAAAAGAATTTCGTTCATGTTTAATTGCTTGTGGTTATAATATACGTGAAGATCGACAAGGTGATGCTGATTTTCAACGTATTATGGCAAATGTTGATCCAACACATACAGGTTTTGTTACATTTGAGTCATTTTTGGATTTTATGACACGTGAATGTTCCGAAGAAGATAGTGTTGATCAATTAACACTTGCTTTCAAGACACTGTCTGCTGATAAAGTAAGTTCCATAATCAAATATAATTGTAGTACTCTACTTTGTCATCAACAATTTAGAGATAAAAAATATTGATGTATGAGATAGAATTATCAATTATTCTAAATTAGTGTAAGCAGAAAAATAAATTTCTTCTTTTTATTCACAAATTAGGAATAAAGTGATGGAAAAAAAAAGTTTAATAACAATAGATTTTTCTATACTAGATGAACTATGATGGTAAGGTTTCTAAAAATCCGGACAGCTTTTTTTAATAATGTTATCATAGGTCATCTAGTATAGAAAAATCCATAGTTATTAAATTTTCCAACACCTTATGTATATATGTAAAGTTGAAAGCAGTGTTTCATTCATTTAAACCTCCGAGAAGACGAACACATCTTTTTAAAAGCGCAGATATATTGTACGCGGTACAATAAATCAAAGACTTCGTAAAGGTCAATCCGAAGAGTTCGGCTCCCACTTACGAATGTGCAATGTTGAACACTGGTCTTATTTTGAAGAGAAAACTTATGAAAAGATGCATTTTGAAGATGTTTTTTTTTCTGATTGGATCATCGGATTTTTGTAACCAAGACATGAAATAGTACTACGATAAATGATATTGCTCTTTTTTCCTTTTGCGCGTCACCAACAACTTGATAAGTAGCACAAAAACACTAAATTTTCAATAGATATTCTATAAAAGATCTCCGTTTCTGATTCACTGGCGAATTAAAGCGACAGATAGTTATGCCAATCTCACCTCATTCTTTTCCATTTCTTGCATGTTATTACTTAAGAATATTAAGTAGAACCATTGTTATCAATCATTTTTCTTTTAACTATTTTCTACAGTATTTTATCGTATAGTTTCATTTTATCATTTTAGCCTTATATTACAGCTGAAGAACTTAAACGTGAATTACCGGCTAATCAAGCTGAATGGTGTATACAACGTATGAAACCATATACAGGTGTTGAGGATGTACCTGGTGCATATGATTATAAAACATTTTCATCAGCTCTCTATGGCGAATCGGATCTCTAAACTGTTTTTTCTTTTCTATGGACAATCTCTATTTTCTATCTCTTTTATTTTTTCTTCATGTATCGTAATCTAAAAGAAAAAAAGAAAAAAAGAATTTTTTGTTTTTCGTCTTTTTTTTTTTGCACAGAGACATTCATTTGTTCTGATGATCAAATATAATTACACGAAAAAAAAATATATATATATACAATCAATGTCTATTACTCATTTCGTTGAACACATGATTTAAACTTTACTCATTTCTTGTCTTGTATCTTTATTATATTTGTTTCTTTCTTTGATCGATTATCTTTGTTTTTTTTTTCATATACAAAATTCAACGATATAAAAGAAAAAGAAAATGAATGAATTTTGAACTTGTTTCAAATGCTAACTTTTTTACTTTCTTTCTTTGTTAGATATTGAATGTAAGAGAAAGAAATCTTGATGTTGTCTGTTTTTTTTTCTTGTTCTTCTTGATGAATATAGATTCTTGTTTTTTTTTATTGTTGGTCATTGGATCAATATCGCTGTATTGGTTAAAATAGAAATCAAAAATTAACCAAACATTGTTTATTACAGGAATTTGAAAAGAATGAAAAAGTAAGATTATTCATCGAATGATACTAATCAAATAAAAATATCCAAATCATTGTTGAATCATTATACATTTTATCGATATTCTTATATTGTCGTGTAACATATTATGACAAATTTCTTTCAACAAAAACTAAACTTTAGTTTTTTATACAATTATTGTTCATCAAATAATCATCTTCCCTCAGAGACGTAACTTAACACGAAAGGCGAGAGTGAGGTGTTGCAGAGCGTTTGAGTCCTAGAAAAAGAAGCGCTACGTGAACAATTTTCGAAAGCAGAGGGTACCAAATCCAAGGAGAAAAAAAGCGAACATTCCGTACTTCAAGAATTCTTGATCATGCTCCATGCGTCTGTATTAGTTATGCACTTGCGTTCATTCATGCGATGTTTAATTTTAAATATTAGATATAACAAATCTACAGGATGTTTGGAAAGTAATTCCCTATTTTAAATTCTTTATTATTCTCAAACAATAAAAGATATCATAACGATTTTTTCACAGTTTTAAATCATGTGTCATGGCATTTCGTTATAGATAAAATAAGCCAATTGATCTTTTGACTGTTTCAGATCAAACACGAATTTCATCTAGACAATACCTGAGAAATAATTCATTATTTTGAGTAGTTTATTATTCTTATACGAGAATAGATGCTATAACAACTACAGAAGTGTATGGACAACAGAGGAACCTATGTAAAAATTTTTGGACATTATATGTTATAGTATCTATTCTCATAACGTACGATGCAAAAGTAATGGCATAAAATGTTGATCCATATTTTTCCTCGATAGAAGGAGACTGAAACAAAACTTTTTTAACCAAAAAATAGAGCTTCTTCTACTCTTCCAGATTGTATATAATTTATTGTTTCTATCATGTCTATAAATGAAACAACGTCACAAAAAAGAAGTATATCATCGAAAACATTTTGCACGTTTTTTATAAAAAAGCAGCAGAAAATGTCGACCTTTATATTTCTTCAATAAACACATTTCGAAAAGAAAATTTTATTACCAATCGATAGTAAATTTTCTCCTCTTTCGAATGATATATAATTTGTTTTTTTCATTTGTATTCCTTAATGAAATGAAACAAGAAAAATAGGAAAATACTCACAATGAATATGGAGTTTTTTCATGAACTTGTCAAAAACATCTTCTAGATGGCAGTTAATCATAGTTAATTAAAATGAACCAAATTATCATCGTCTACTATAGTGTTTTGACATGCTCATACAAAAACTGCAAAATTAATGCACGGGTGTTTTCCTTTCTTTCTTGTTTCATTTCATTGAGGAATGCGAATGAAAAAACAAATTGTATATCATTCGAAAGAGAAGAAAATTTCCTATCGATTGGTAATAAAATTTTCTTTTCGAAACGCCTTTGTCGAAGAGTTATTCAAAAAACAAGGAAATCAACATTTTGTGTTATTTTGCTAAATTTTACAAAAAGTGCAAAATGTTTTCGATGGTATACTTCTTTTTTGTGATGTTGTTTCATTTATAGGCATGATAGAAATAATAAATTATATACAATCTGGAAGAGTAGAAGAAGCTCTATCTTTTGGTTAAAAAAGTTTTGTTTCGGTCTCCTTCTATCGAGGAAAAAATATGGATCAGCATTTTGTGTCATTACTTTTGCATCGTACGTTATAAGAATAATAAACTACTCACAATAATGAATTATTTCCAGATATTGTCTAGATCAAATTCGTGCTGGATCTGAAACAGTCAAAAGATCAATTAGTTTATTTCATCTATAACGAAATGCCATGACACATGATTTAAAACAGTGAAAAAATCATTACGATATCTTTTATTGTTTGAGAATAATGAAGAATTTAAAATAGAGAGTTACTTTCCAGACATCCTGTTGTTTTTTATTCAAACAGATACATAAACTGATGCTTAGAATAACAAATGAATTGATAACGAGCAACGCCAAAATTTGACACTAATCATATTCCGTTTGTATCTCAATATAGGAACCTTGTAGAAGATTCTTTCATATGATAAAAAAGCATTTGAATTTACTATGTACAATTACAAACATAACAGAAACAAAATTAATGCAAAACTAAAATGCTATCAGTTATTATAATATGTTTTATATGCAGCACTGCTTCAATTCTTATCATTAAATAAGACTATTCGAATTTTCTTTTATGTTACTTTACAGTTGATTCATCTTATGAAATAATAAGATCATAATGTTAAATAACACTACTTCTATATTAAATCAATATATAGAATTAATCAATCAGTCAATCATTACGAATGATTCTCTTGGTGCTAGTATATTTATTATCATTGTTCTTTGTTTTTATTCATCAAGTTTTATATTTCTATTGGTAATGCAAATGGAAACATCTGATGAAACTCTTGAAGAATCAATAAATTCTTCAACAAAATTATTTGTTCAAAATTTTCGTGATCAAAATAATAATAAACAAATATTAGGTAAATTTCAAATTTTAATCGAAAAAGAAAATACGTTTGTTTTATTTTAGAAGAACTTGTTAATAAACAAAAACGAGATAAATTATGGGATATTTATTTGGGTACATCTGGAGATATGAATGATAAAATAATTCGTGCTGATATAGTTCGTATTCGTAATATTGAAAAACAATTAGCAAATATGAATGAATACCACCGAAATAATAGTAATCAAAGAATTAATGATGATCATTTTTCTACATATTCTTCTAATCTAGATGAATGGTCATCAGTTACAGATTTATCTATATTAAGTTCACGTTTACGTACTCGACATCGATCATCATTAGATCATAAAATTCTCGAAGAATGGAAAGTGCTTGCTGATGAATTAAAAACTCATGAAAATTGGCCATGGACTATACAAAAATTAATTATACGACGACATTTACGACGACAACGACATGCATCAGAAGGTGGATCAGTATCTTGATCGTTATCGAATGATTATTTTACAAACAATTCTTTCTATCAATCTTCAATAAATATATTCGTTTATTTTAATTTTTGAAACTTTTATTACATTGATATGTTTAATGTTAAATTTAGTTTGAATGCTTCTTCAGATTAGAAAAAAAAGAGAATGAACCTTCATCTTCCATATCACTTCTTGAGTAATGATTGGTAATATTTATTGTCAGTACAATGTAATGTATGATTAAGTTGATAAAAACTTTTTTTTAAATTTAAATCAAGTTTTTAAGAGAGGATCCGCGAGAAGACTACCCTACTCTCCATATAAGTCGTCGGAGAAAAAATTTTTTTTCTATTTTATTTTCTTAAATAAAGCCATCGACACATTAGAAGACCCGGGGTCTTCTATTCTGTCTTATCGTTCATAAGTTAAAAGGGGGGTCTTCTATTATGTCCTTTAAAAAAGTCATATTTTTTGGCAATCCCACCTACAAACCTTAGCTTCACTTGATTTTTGTCCAATATATCGTTGGTAAATGAGTTTGCTTCACTTATTTCACATGTGTAGAATAAGAAAGAAACAGATATCATCCTGTGAAAAAAGGGAGACCATCGTTGGTAAGAAGTATTCTTAGAACAATACAGTCAATGTAGCCTAGCATCTTGGTACGATATCCCATATCGTTCTTTTTTTCTCTAGGCTAACACCTATCATTGGCAACATTTTACCTTCTCAATAACTAAATAAATGTAAAAAAAGAAAATTAATTTTTTTTATCAAACTCATTTTATTCAGTTGCTTATGTAGAGATATGATTAGTATAGATGGAATCTATTCATAATGAATTCTGCTACTAGCAAAGTTATTAATCTTAAGTTAACTTCAATGAATACGATTGTCTTATGAAGAAACTATCTATAGAAAATCAGCAGTTGAATACACACACCGTTTTTCTTTTGCGTCTGTTTTAAAAAATGCCATTGTATCTTATTGAAAAAAGAAATGCATTCTGAAACTCAAAAAAAGTACTCACATATCAAATCTCGACGTTTATACAGTCTACGCAAAAAATTCTGGGACATTCAAGAATGGCTCTCTGAAATTTCATCTTTCATTTGAAATAAACTTTATATATATTTTTTAAGCATAGTTACTGGTTAAACTTTCGTACTTTACTCTACAGACGCAAAACTTCTAGTTTTAATATTATATAAAACTGTAACCAGTAGCTATACTTAAAATATATATAAAGTTTGTTTCAAATGAAATATAAAATTTTGCAGAACCATTCTTCAGTGTCCCAGAAATTTTTGTGTAGACTGTGCATGAAGTTATGTTTTCTTCAATTATGAAAGACTGTTTTGTGGTGAAAACGTTTCTGATTTTCTAGAAGAAAGTCAAAGATGAAATGACCTTTTAATTAATACAAAGCGGCAATTTACCTAATCTGTTGCTATTGTACAAAGATCCCTTCACATGTTACATGCACGAACGGGCACTGGGCTCATTAGATCCTATGACTATGGAAGCGTGTTTTTCGTGTATAGAGCCTGAATAACGTATTCAAAGTAAGCTGCAAAGGAGTACTAAAATGACTCCATGGTATATTTTTACAAAGAAACGCAATCTTTAATAAACAGTTGTTTCCTATTAGTTGCTTTTCAAGATTTTATTCATTCGAGCCTGACACTTGGTTATGAGGGAGGAAGCAAGATATTTTTCGTACTGAATTTCGATATCATTCTAGGCTTAAATACTAAACAAATCAATAAACTCCAGAAACTGTTTCAAAATATCGATTTTTTAAGAGGGGGGGAGGGGTCTTCTAATATAGGGGGGTCTTCTAATGTGTCGATGGCTTTACTTGATACGTCACGAGTTGCTCTAGAAAATGGTATAGATGACTTTATCTATTGAATGTTTGTTATCTGTTCTGACAAAGTTCTTTAAAATGAAATATTCTCGTCCGTTACAACCAACGAATAGAATTTAATTATTAAAAACAGAATTATTATTTAATAATTTATTATCAGCAAATATTGGAATTGATTCAATAAATGGAACATTTGCTAGAATTCGT